CCCTGGGAGTGTCCAAGGCCAGGCTGGATGAGGCTTGGAGCACCCTGGGCTATGGAAGGTGTCCCTGCCCATGGCAGGGGGGTGGGACTGGGGGGGCTTTAAGGTCCCTCCCAACCCCAACCATTCCATGGTCTGCATTTCAGACTGGGGGAGTGGTTTACCTCTGGTGGTTCAAGCCCCGAGGTGGCTGCTCCCAGAAGTGACCATCTCGGAATTAAGGCTTTTCTCACGTGCTGGGATCACGTGATGGTGGTCACCAAGTGATGCCCTTATTCCCACACCCTCTTGGTAGCTGGCACAGAAAGGGATGGAGGAAAATTCATGTTTTTGTGCTATTTGGCTCTCCCACAGACTGCCTCTTCCCCTCTCAGTTGGGAGTTGATCTCATGCTGATGCTGCCTGGCTTTTCCAGTCCATCCTGGGAAGTTTCCTCCAGCACCTGGCGAGTTCCTGGAGTTTCTCAGGGGGTATCTAGGGGACACCTTCACCTGGGGTGAGGAGCACAGGTCTTACATGGAGAGCTTTGGGTTTGTTTCTGAATAAAATGGACCCCAAGCAGCCCTGATTTTGCTCCAAATTTTAGGGCATTGCTCTCCAGCCTCTCGGAAGTATCACAGGAAGGAGAAATGTGGAGAAACCTTCAGTTATTCACCTTTCGCGGATTTGGGATGTCCTTCATCCCCAGGGAAGGTGGAGAGAATGGGCACAGTGGCCTTGGCAGATGCTGTCTCCCGCTCTTGGGGTCTCTCCTTGTTGGGTCTCCTGGCCTCCCTCTCCTCATCCCCTCTGTTTTAGGGGCACAGTCCTCAGTTTGTGACCCCTGAGGTGGGGTCTCTGCACCAGGATCCTTTTAGGCATCCATGGGGGGCATAAACCATGAGCTACCAGGCAAGAGCACATCGTGTGCCCCTGTGAACCTTAGCAGAGAGGATCCCCAAAGGGTAGTCACAGATTTTTGGGGCCTTGAGGAAGGAAATTGGGGCTCTGTGGCTGCCCCAAAGTGCATCCAGGGAGGATGGCTGCGTATTTGGGATCATGGAGTAAAGTGCTTTGCGGCTCTGGCACCTGGGATGGTCAGTAAACTGGGGGGGGACTTGTCTCCATCCATGGCCTGGGTGCAGAGGAGCACAGAAGCAGCTCATGACCCACCCCCGGCACTCACACTCGTCACACCTAAAGGGCTGGGGAGCCCCTTTTTAATTTGTTTGCACCCCTCCTTGGCTTCTCCGCTCCTTTAGCTCTGGCACTGGCCCCCAGGTTCATCAGGCTCCTCCTGAGCTACGGGGGCTGCCCTGGAGGGTGCTGAGATGGGTTAAATAAACATCACCAGGCTGGGAGACCCTCCCCCCAGGCCAGCTTTTTGGGGCTCCTGATAGAAGTCCAGCTGGTTTTGAAATGTCCCACCCATCAGCTGCAGCTTTATAGTCTTTGGGAAGCAGATTTAGGAATAGGGGGGGCAGCGGGAGGCGGTGGCAGGATCTGGGAGGGGGGGAGGCTGGCATCATGGGTTCGTATCTTCCCTCATGAGCTGTGTCATCTCCGTTTCGGTGTCCTCGGTGGCTTCTGTCTTGGTGGGGAGGTAGATGGTCCCTCCGGGCTGGAAGGACAACGCCAAAGTGCTCTGGTCCCCGAGGCGCTGGTGGGCTGCGAGATGGAGGGGACCGAGGCGCCGGTGGGCTGCGAGATGGAAGGGACACGACGGTGTCACCGGGCTCCGACAGCCGCATCCCCCTGGGTTTTGGGGTGGCTGGAGCACAGACTGTGTGTTGGGTCAGGGGGTGGGGAGGGGGAGTTGGAAGGACACAGGGATGGGGCTGTCACCTCCAGCCTGGGCTGCTGCCACGCATCTCCTCTTCAGGTTGAGCCACAGCAGGACCCCGCTGAGCAGCATCAGCAGGGCCAGCACCGCTACCAGCACCGAGCAGGATGGCGAAGCCCCTGGGGTTGAGGAGAGAGTGGATTTGGGGTCCCGTATCCACCCAAAACCACATACCACGCCCCCCCTCAGCAGCTCAGCTGGTGGTGGAGATGAGCTTCCCTGAATTAGGCTTTGCATTAAGACCCGTTTCCCTCGGTGATGGGGTAGGGGGGTGTTGGAGCAACATTC